GACTGCGGCATCTTCCCAGACAGCTGACCTTGCAAGCTGACATCTTTGAACTCGACCTTTGTATGCAGTTTATAGCAACCTTTAGGATTCACAGGACGTACAAAGAAGCAATCGTACTCAACATCATGTAAATTTAGGTGCATTTTAAGGGAATTTTAGGCAGTTCAGCGTGGATCTAGGAAAATAGTTGGATAGACTACTAAAGTCTGTTAAACATAAAATTGTTCTGATTAATTTTAGACAGCATACGCCGTGTGAAAAACATTTTCGGCCTTCGCAAGCCATTAAAACTGCGTGTGTTTAATGATTAAAATCAACAGATCGCTGGAAATTTGCACTTTTTCGGAAGGAGCTTAAGATATATTGACTGTTTTCTTTGATGTATACATATTGTTAACTTTCAGGTAAAAGGTTTGGAAAAATAGTCATTCTTTTCTTTAAGTATACTGATAGCACCCAGGTGACGATGTAGACCGCCAAGAACGACAAATTAAATATTTCGTCTCTTGGAATGGATGCAACATCAATGACTTGCTCTTGAATTAGTTTATAGGGAAACATAACGACAACGGCAAAGGCTCAGGTGCAGAGTCTGTCAAAACAAAACACAAAGGGCCTGTTCACCACAGCATGCATCAGACTTGCATAGGGGCAGGGGGTCTTGCGACAGTTCCATAAAGACTACATAAAGAGGTTGCCATTGCGGCCTGATTTCCGATACTCCGGGTGTTTCTATAATACTCGCATCAGAACCGAACTATTCCGACAGTTGTCAACCATTCCTTTCACTTATTAACTGCTGAAAGTGACCCAATGAATTATGAAATAGGTCATACTTCAGTAATGTTTTTATAATTGTCTCCCCCGTTTTGGAGTAGTGAAGCATACACTGAAGCGACAATCAATTTGCTTTGTTCTGCGTACTGATCATAAGAAAATGTTGAGACGCTGACGGTTTGCAGTACTGACAGATGAGACTAGTGGGATTCGACTAAAAACGTTACCTGGGTGATATAACTGTCTAAGGAAATGGTATAGCGTGCAAACCAACCTCAATAATGTGCCAGTTGATTTGGTAAACCCGCTGCTTACGTACTATTAAGATGTTAATCTTAAAGAGCCTTCTCTAGAAAAACGTGAAAAGTTGTTCATTTAGTATTGTGGGCAGTCGCAGACGAACGAATCCATAATCAACGATTTTACTGTTTGCTTGCGCTTAGATCGCCGTACATAGAAGGGAGTACCAGATCGGTATGCAGTCATCAATTGAAAAGGCACAGTATGCTTCAGTTATAGGCCTGGACAGAGTGCTAACTTGTCCAACTTGTCCACGTTTATCCACCTTCTATATGGGAATGAGACAATGTGAAGGCATCTTCATTTACATTACTGGCAACCGACTAACCCTCTCTAGAATGTGACATCATTAGGATGCACTAGCAAAAATTATCTGTAGTGCCGCCGTTGGACAGATCGACGCTCTGTCTTCTGAATGCTACAGCAAGACTAGAAAATATACCCGTAAACCAATTATTTGCAGTATACGACGATTGAAAGCTGACTGCGCTTGAATGCCGTGGGAATATCAATTCGGGTCGTATGTAAATTCTGTAGTTTTTGAAATAACTGACGGTCGCATTTAAAGTATTCGGTTGCTCATGTCGACTGCGTACAGGCTGGTTCGACGATAACAACGAGGCACCTTAAATAATGCTCGCCGATAAAAAGGAATGGGATTACAAAACCGGTGTTAATGAGGGGCAGGAGACCGAAGATCCTACGTATGACTAGTGACCTTTACCTAGATTCTACTGGAGTTATGACTAGGATTAGTATTATGGCGAGCGAGCGCTTCCATATGTCGAGAACGTTTCGGAATCTGTCGACCGCCTTCTCGCACCACTTGGGGTTGGATTTGTACACAAACCGCAGGCAACCATCAGGCGTCAGATAATCAAGCCGAAAAACCCGCTGACACGGCAAGAAGCGTCTGGAGTCGTTTATCGGATCTGCTGCATTTGAAGTCAAAGCAACTACGCCGGAGAAACCGAAAGGCAGCTCCGAACGCGAATGACCGAGTACGCTGCGGCGGTGGGGAGAAATGACGCCAGTTCTCAAGTTGCGGCTCATTGGACAAGATCCGGCCACACACTCAAATTCAATGAGGCCGAAATTCCCGCTAGAAGTGACAACCGCGTGAGCCGGGAGGTGCTTGAGTCATGGTTTACTGGTCACAGTCCATGAAGAAGTGCAGTGATCTTCCCCTTTCATATTTTATACTGAGACTTCGCCTAGGCGGAGTAACTAGCCACGCGGGAAGCGCACCGGTGAACACTTTTCACAACGCCATGGTCGAGAGATCATCACACCAACATCCAACGTACGGGATGAGATTGCAGCAATTAACGACGCAAATGTCGGCCATCAAACAGGCATAAAACCACAAGCAACGATCCCTGATGAAGGGGGGAGGGCGTGAACATTTACACAGTAGATGTGCTAACTCATGAAATGTCAACCGAAATTTCGGAATGCGTTCTCGTTTCGAAAAGATAAATTAAGTAGTGTTGTAAAACTAATCATGATGCAGCATAAATCTACAATGATCCAGTTACCTCAGGGTGTCGGCTTCCGAAAGAACTTATTTTCGGCTGCATGCAAGACCAATACTCTGCAACAAATGACTACTTAATAGTATGCACTTTTATCATTGATTGTCGATGCCCTTGAAAATTCAATTATATTTCATGGAAAACAGGCATAAAAATATTCATTCTTTTACCTTTTCAGTAGAAAATCACGTCTTCTTCCAATTTTTTACTCAAAAAAGAGTATAAATTGGTTTTAAAAAAGTTTCTAATTGTGGGATTTTTTAATACCGTTAAATGGCCGTTCATGAAACGTCATGTATCTGCATTTACGAATGTGGCTTGTAAAGTTAACAACATTGCTCAAATCCATTGCTTCATTTTATGAACTTCATATAGTCTTATCTTAACACCGTAGATAAATGCATGTAATATTGTTAACTTTACAAGCCACATTCGTAAATGCAGATACATGACGTTTCATGAACGGCCATTTAACGGTATTAAAAAATCTCACAATGAGAAACTTTTTTAAAACCGAATTATACTCTTCTTTTGAGCATGAAATTGGAAGAAGACGTGATGTTCTACAGAATAAGTAAAAAATGAATATTTTTATGCATGTTTTCCATGAAATCTAATTGAATTTTCAAGGGTATCGAAAATCAATGAGAAAATTGCATACTACTTAACTAGTCATTTGTCGCAGAGTAGGTATGCGGTAGCATGGCGACTGCATGAACCACCCGTATCTATTATTGTCTCTGATGCTGCATCAATGAACAACCGGAAAAGTCAGACCAATAAAGATCATGATCCAACGATCTTGTCTCCTTCTTTACGTTATGGTTGGGGTTTGGGATTGATTGTTAACTCTATGACTATGAGGGTTAGTGCCGGGGCTAAAATGCGGCTACGGAAATATGGACCCAACGTAATTTCACTCGGCACCACAGGTAGTTCGTGTAGAACGATTTTCCCATATCAGACCAATATCTTTAATAATGATTCCTTCCATCACGCATAAGGCCTGCTGCATTAACGTCTGCTGGAAATAAAAACATCATTTAAGGCATAGGTTACAAAATTGAAGTAGCAACAGACCGTGAAGAAAAAGCATTTACCGTGAACATCAAAGCAGCCTTCAACACAAAACAGGAAACATTTTCGCAATTTAGCCTCATTACGCACATTCGCCTTTATCAATAACTTGTTCAATTGCTACGTTACCTACATTCGGCCAAATGTAATTAATATTTGTTTTACCTGAGCTGCGTGGACCATCTTCGAGACAAAGTAAGTCGTTGGACCATATCTCCTAATGACAGTTCGACCATCGATTTCAATGATGTCCACCGTGTGCCCCACAGCTGCAGCTGCAACGGCGGGAGCAGGGACGGTGACTTGCGCAGGGGTTTATAGTGCCGGTAGACTTGCGCTGCATCTACCTACACTCTCTCCTCCTCCCCCGCCTGGGCCCGGTGTCAAGAGAGAGTCAAGAAGACCGGAGACGAGGGAGGCTGCAGGTGGAATGCTCGGACGGATCCTCACCTTGGCGTTCCAAAACACATCCTGGCCCACACAACAAATGACCAGGATTTTCACCAACAAAACAGAGATCGGAGGCTGGCACGGCCGAAGCCGCACCTAGGCGTGCTGCCAACGCCTGGCTGTGATCCCACACTGTTGTGGGAGTGCCATAATGGCCACATTAAGGAGGCATTGCAGCCTGACTCTCAGGCCACCACTAGTCAGGGAGGAGGTGCGAGTTACCCCGTCAGTTGGCAACCTTCCAAGCCACGGCTTTTAGCGCACCGTGATAGCTTCAAGCGCGTCAGATTGTTTATAGTGAGGAAAATGCGCTGATTCGTCGACCTCACTCTCCCTTCCCATCCCCACACACCAGCCGCTGTCCGAGCAGGTCAGCAGACTGGAGTGGGAAATGGGCGCGGTGGCTGTCATGGTCGACTGACCATGACTGCGCGCCACGGCACGAGCTGGCCCCTCATACACACAAACACCAGGATTTCACACAACGGGGTTGAACGGCGTGTCCCTTACTTGCGTGAGGGTGCCGTGGAAGGTGTTGCTTCAGCCCGTCCCCAACCCACCAGTCCGCCCCTCCACACAACACACACACACACACAACGCGAGGAACTGCGTGAACCGAGAGCGGACGTCAGTCAGCAACCTTCCTATCCACGACGCTTGAATTTTCGGGATAGTCTCGGACGCAATTCATCCCCGCAGCCGAAGCCGCATTAGGGCCCAGTCGAGTTGCACACTTCCCACTTGCGTGGGAGGTGGCAGTTGGGTGCATGAGGTGTGTGAGTGTTGATTGCTGGTGGGGTGATGGTGCTGGTGGTGGAGGAGGTAGGGAGTGAGTGGATGTGTGGTGTGACCGGCGGTTGTCTACCGCAGGTCGTCGTGGATGCGCATGTGGCCGAATAGGCCCATGCGATGCCTGAAGGTGCGAGGGCAGTGTGGGCAGTTGAGACGAGCTTGGTGGGTATAGGTTGGTGCTCCGGGCACTGGTTCACCAGTCTCTGTGGGATGGATTCGCAAGTGACCGACCAGGCCGATGCGTGAGGTGATTGTGCGTGGACAGTGTGGGCATAAGAATTCGGCGGTGTCAGTGTCAGCGACAAAGTAGGCGGTGGTGGTGGTGGTGGCGCAGATGGACGAGGCGAAGTTGGGGGTGTGCACGGTGGATGTGGTGGGTGTGTCGGGAGTGCGGTCAAGGCCGCTCTCGTGGATGCGCATGTGGCCAAATAGGCCCATGCGGTGCCTGAAGGTGCGAGGGCAGTATGGGCAGTTGAGTCGATCGTGGTGGGTATAGGTTGGTGCTCCAGGCACTGGTTCGCCAGTCTCTGTGCGATGGATTCGCAAGTGACCAACCAGGCCGATGAGTGAGGTTAATGTGCGTTAACAGTGTGGGCAGATGAAGTCGACGGTGTCAGTGTCAGCTACGGAGGAGGCGGTGATGGTGGTGGTGATGTGCGCGCAGGGCAATGGAGCCAGTGTGGGACTGCGCGTGGTGGATGTGCTGGGTGTCGTGGGTGTGTCGGAGTTGCGGTCAATTCCGCTCTCGTGAATGCGAATATGGCGGAATAGGCCCATTCGATGCCTGAAGGTACGAGGGCTGTGTGGACAGTTGAAGGGAGTGCGGTGGGTGTAGGTTGGTGCATCACGCACTGGTTCGCTAGTCTCTGGGCGATGGATTCGCAAAAGAACCGACCAGGCCGATTTGTGAGGTGAATGTGCGGTCGCAGTGAAGGCAACTGTAGCCCTGATCCTCATCGCTGGAGTCGGCGGAGGTGGTGATAGTGGTGTCGGTTGTTGCGCGCGTGACATTCGCCTGAGCGGCCGTCGTTGGAACAGTGGAGGAGGAGGAGGAGGAGGAGGAGGAGAAGGAGGTGGAGGAGGAGGATGGAAGTGGTGGTTCAGAAGAATTGCCAGATTCAGTTGGCGGCGGAGAGCATGAGGAAGAGGCTGGCGGGGGGACGATGGTTGGGGCAGTTCGAGAGGTGCAGTTGATCCAAAGGTGTCCAACAAGTCCGATTCGAGCCCGGAATGTCCGTTGACATTGATGACACGTTGTAAGCGGTTGTGCGGCGGCGTTGCGTACTGGGCGAAGTTGGGATTTGCGGGCTTCGCGTTTCGCTTTGGCGGCAGCGATGCGGTTGGCTTCGTAGATCGCAGCGCCTGTCTTCACTGTCCTCCGCTAGGTCGGTCGATCGAGTGCGAGCTCTTCCCACTTGGCCGTGTTGATTTGCAGGCGCTTCAGGGAGGACTTTATCGTATCCTTGTAACGGCGAATTTGGCCTCCTTGACGGCGAGAACCCGTCGCGACGTCTTCGTAGAAGAGTCGTTTGAGTAGTTGCTCGTCGTCCATGCGCACCAGGTGCCCGCTCCATCGCAGATGCATTTGTCTCAGAATGGCGTAGATGTTGAGGATTCCCGTTCGTTCCAGCACACCAGTGTCGGGGATTCGATCCTGCCAGTTCAGCCTCAGGATGCGACGAAGACAACTGAGGTGGAAGTGGTTCATACGGCGTGCCTGCTTTGTGTACACCGTCCTAGTCTCCGCTCCATACAGTAGCGTCGGCAGGATGACGGCCTTGTACATCTTCAGCTTCGTGCTCAGTTGGAGACCATGACGATTCCAAACTGTGCTTTGGAGGCGACCGAAGGTTTGAATAATAATGCTGGGACCACTCACCTAGACCATTAATCGCACTTATTGTGACAGGTAACATAACGACTAATTGAACCTCGAACGGCATATTACATTATCACTTTTACAACATTTCAGGATATAGCCATAAACACCGCCATTTTCACGCCTCGTAACCATCTATTTCTTTCTGTCGATGGGTAAGGCATCGGGTTTTTGAGGCGGACATATGAAATTAAGATTTCCAAATGATCTGCAATCAAATGCCTTAAACAAAGTCCCTGAGAAATTTTTGTATAATATTTTTGAAGATACTTTCTGGCAGATCGGATACTGTCTGTGATAGCTTTCGTTACTCCAATCAGGGGCATGTATTGCATTTCATATAATAGCTGATTATAGATAACATGCTTGAGGCTCTCTAACGCATTTGTGCTGGATAGGGGACAATTCATCAACAAAACTTTGAATTATTTTTTTGCAATTATTGCGCGATTTACTTGAAAAGACAATTTCTTAGAGACTGAAACAAATTACAGCAAAAAAGACGTAGATACACTTCTTGAGTCAAAGACGAAAACGCATGCCAACTGACTAGTTGTCGTGCCCAATGCTGTGGTGATTTCGAGATTCCCTGGTCTTCCGAAGGCTTACAAACTAGAGATGTCATTGCGTCCGTTTGTCGCCAATGCAGCGGCCCCTACACTTGGCATGGTCACTTAAATTTTCTACGTCAAAGGATTTTACCTAAGACTTTAAAGCCTCTGCTTATTCCATGAAACAATTTTGGCAAAGGTCTTTTGTCATTCACCTTGCAATTTATCGGGTGATGGTGTTGCCTGGTGTGAACTCACCTCTAATTGCATGCCTGCGGTTTCTAGCAGTAGAACTAACACAGCACTGTCACAAAATTAGCAAAAACCATGCTTGAATATCCTTATATATCAATCGAAGTAACTTGTAAATCAGACTGAGCTTTGCGTAAACAAATAAAACGACGTTATGCTCAGCAAAGCAATTAAATCAGTGCTTGCATCAATACATCCAGCAGGCTCTTAATCAATCCTAAACGTACTTCCAACCTAACAAACGAAAATGTCGTACGAAGAAAAAAGCAAGCAATCCCGTAGGCGACATGGATTACGGGAAGTTGTCCTTCACCCGATCGTGTCTGGAAGCGCGAACCATAGCTGAATATGGCGGTAACATGGGATGCACATAACGCAACCTAAGTCACAAAACTAGATGACAGAAATTGATCTGATAATTATCGGACGCAGTGAACGTTGCGAATTTTGTTTGCCTGTGGAGCTTCTTCAAGTAAATTGCATTTTTTGTTGCGCAACATGTGTGTTAGCAATTTTAGCAGAGAAAATGCTCACGAGTTTGAGTGAAAATGCGCGTTGCGCTACATTCAGGCTTTTTCCTATAATAATACCTGTTCTAGACTTCGATTACGCATTCGAACGTGTTTCTCTTTGAGAGTAAAGCAATTAGCTCTAAATGGTTTTTCTAAAGAGAGCGTGAAAATTCATTTTTTGTCTGATGTAGACCGTGCGAATCAGTTTTCTAACGCAGAGGTTTTATTTACAGAACACGACAATCTTACTAATTTAGAAAAATCGAACTATCCATTCTGTACGCTTTGGCGCCTTCAGCAGCACTTATAACGCACTAAGTCAGTCCTCCGTTTAAATGGTCTAAAATTGTCTTGCCGCTTAGAACATGTTAGGACTTAACGTGGAAGCGACTATCTCCAAAAAGTTATTTTCATTTTCAAGAATATGAGAAGTTATTTTTGTCGTGGTTTACGGTTCCGACATACGCCATTTAGGAATAGAACGAGCAGACCACGAGCAGTTTCGGCAAAAATATCAGTGTTTAATTGGCTCCTCCACCGTGCGTTTATCATAGTAGTACGGAGTCTGAGGGTGGAGGAAGATACCAAAAATGATCGCAATATAAAGAGATGACGATCACAATCATACTAAAAATACTGCCCAGTTGCCTTGATCTGTATGAGCGAACCGCGTTTCGCGGATGGTGCGGGCAAGTGCGCAAATTACTTTAGGTGTTAGATGTCCAAAATAATCATATGGATTTTCACCATCACGTTTCGCGAGTTACAACACGTACTGTGTAGATGTTTGTTAGAAATTTCCGCATAGCCAGTAAGAATCGACCAATCTAGCTGGAAAGCGCGTGTGGGCGCCATTCTCTTCATACCGCGATAGCGCTGTCAACTGGGCTTCCTTAAAACCTGATTAGCCCATGTCTGCGAGAAGTTGTTCGGCTCCCCCAAGACTTTAATCTTGAAGCGGACTGGACAGAATGCTAGCCAATAAGGACGAGGTACTATGGATGCACACTGTTTTTCAATGCGTAAATGGGCGGGTCATATTAATATATGACATTCTACGAAAAGCAAACAGATTATCATGATGGTTTGAAGTTTGATTATGCTTAAAACTAAGAGCCAATTATTTGTAACATCTGACTAGTTGCGTGTGTATCACAGTCTAAAATAAGCGTCCACGTAAAGAAAGGGAAGAATGAGAGCAAATCGTCCTACCGTATAGCTTAGGTCTAGTGATTGGAGTCATTATACAGTTGACATGCATAACGTTGCCTCCAGTTTTTTTCGTTTCCTTCGTGGGTTGTTGACGTATGACCTGATTCATTAAACCTGCATGCCGGACAGTGAAATTACAAAGGTGTCATAATAACTTTTAACTAGGGGTCAGGGGAAAATATATGGATCCAGAGCTTTTTGGGTGGACGGTCCCAAAGAGTGCAGGTCGGGCGTCAGCAGTCCTCAGAGGTAAGCGTGGTGAGTGGCGTCCCACAGGGCTCAATCTTAGGTCCCACGTTATTCCTCGTTTTCATAAATAACTGCGTCATGGACTTAGACTGTGACACCATCCTGTTTGCCGACGACATTAACATGTGGAAAGTTATTCACAATGCGGCAGACGCAGACCACCTGCAAGCAAACCTGAACAGGATCGAATACTGGTCGAAGCGCTGGCTTATGCCATTCAATATAAGCAAATGCAACTTTCTTCAACCAGGCAGCTTCAGAGCCTCCAGCCCCAGGACTTACTTTCTAGACGGCACACCACTGCAACAGGTTGACAGTCAGAAGGGCCTGGGTAAATGGATTACATCTTCACTCAAACAAACACTGCACTGCGCGAAGGCGGCTAAATCGGCTATGGCTACACTGCAACTCATTAAATGAGCATTTATGGCAGTTGACCTAGACAGTTTTTCAAAAATATTTGGCACCTACGTGAGGCCTCATCTAGAATACGCCACACAGGCGTGGAGACCTTGGATTGTTAAGGACTATACTGTTTTGGTGAATGTCCAGAGACGGGCGACCAAAATGACACAAGGTCTGGGAGCGCTGTCTTACGAATCCCGACTGTCAACTCTCAACCTATTTCTACTTTCCTGCAGGCAATTACGTGTTGACCTTATACTTGCATTTCGCATTATCAACGGCCTAGACTGTTGTTTAGATACCACTGATTATTTCACACAAGCTAACACGCCCACTTTGCGCGGTCATCCCCTAAAACTACGCGCCGTGAAAGCAAGGATCAATGGAAGAAAGTTCTTTTTCAGTCACAGAGTGGTTGCAGCGTGGAATGCCCTGCCCACCGATTTGGTAACCTCCTCCTGTGTGAATTCCTTTTAGTTTAGACTTGGCGCGCATCAAGCCTCCCAGTTACCTGCCTTACATCTAATGACATAACCGGCACCAACTTAAACATGTTTATACTACTTGTAACTAGTTAGTAACCATTATTGATTATTCTTTTTGACTAGCTGTCAGCGACTATGTACAAAACTCCTTTTCCACCTTCCCACTATCAATGTTTTTCTCCGACGACTTGTAAACAATAGGGAGTTCAAAGGCGCTCGCCTATATTTCCTTCAATAAACTGAAACTTAAACCGAAACATATGTATGATATTGCAAAAAAACATTTTCCCCACTACGTCTGGAATCTCTGCAAATGCCGATAATATTTAACGGTAGCAAATCGAAGTATTATCTATCTACGTCATTTTTTATTTAGGGTATAAATTATTAGAATTAAAATTAATTTGTTTAAAGTGAAGAAAAGCCCTCTTATTTGCGGTGAAGTTAATACTTACTTTTCTTGTTCTTTTTGCACAAACGGACAAATCGGCTACGTGTAGGTTGTTTTGGTAAACCATATTTAGGTTTAATAATAATTCTCAGTGTAGTAGTTTACGCGAGCAAATCGACGTAGACGAATAACAATCCCTGAAATAATGAATATTTTCTATTCGCATTAGCTAAAAGTATTTCTAACGATTTTGTCAACTTTTCCTGTTACATATCCTCTTTTTGGACGTTAGCAAGTCACTTGAAAACGGATAAGTGGACCGAGAAATGTAAAACATCACAATACTGGTCACCAAATTTTATTCAAGAAAATGTGAAGCATTTTTTCAAAGGAGACTGTGTGTGACGAAAATATGAAACTACTAATAAGCGTTTCGTTCAGATTCCCTGCAAGAAAGGCACCGGGTGAACGAATGATCCAGAAACCTGAAGAAATCACATTCGACCTAATGATTGATCCTTTTAGCCGAGTTTCTGCTAGCGGATAGTGAATGCTCCCGATGGGCAACGATCCGTTGACTACAGGAAAAAACATGAAATCATAAACGAGCAGATTATTTAATGTAAAATTATTGGGAGGTTTTCGTTTCAGTTTTGGATCTTTTAAAGGATCTTTTACGAGGCTTCATATTTTACAAAACAATGAGTTACTTGTAATCTAATGTCGCCTTTTTATATGAGCTGTTTACTAATGCCACTTACTCGCCACTGTCGACTACTGCCAATAATATCGGCAGAAAATTTGCAAGACTCTAAATGCTGTGCTTGGTCAACAGTTTGTGCTTATTGAA